AAACACAAATTTGGTTTCGTAATATGGCAAATTCCCATGGAGTCTATGACCATGAATTAGGAATCACTAGTCCTTATTCTTTCTTAAACAAAAAACCAAATTCTTCCTGCTACTTAAAGGAATGCCAGATGTTGCTGTTGATTTCTTTTTTTTTTATTTTTTATTTTTTTATTTTTTGACAGGCAGAGTGGACAGTGAGAGAGAGAGAGAGAGAAAGGTCTTCCTTTGCCGTTGGTTCACCCTCCAATGGCTGCCGCGGCTGGCGCACTGCGGCCGGCGCACCACGCTGATCCGATGGCAGGAACCAGGTACTTATCCTGGTCTCCCATGGAGTGCATCCTCCACTGCACTCCCGGGCCACAGCAGAGAGCTGGCCTGGAAGAGGGGCAACCGAGACAGACTCCGGCACCCCGACCGGGACTAGAACCTGGTGTGCCGGCGCCACAAGGCGGAGGATTAGCCTAGTAAGCAGTGGCGCCGGCCAACTGTTGATTTAACAATGTTGCAGTGGATTCCTTTCTGAGAGGAGGAGCGTGGTGGGGGCAAGAGGCGCAGAGTCACCACACAGACCCCGGGAATCGGGTGAAAGCAGGCTTGAGGCAAGCAGCCCGAAGACTCGTTTATTTCAGTTGGTACAACAGCTTATATAGCCAACACAGCCAATCCGGTCAAGGGGCAGTTTATGCCCTAACCAATCACAGCCTGTTGCCAGGCAGGCTCTGTTGCCAGGTGGGTTTCAAAGCCATTCCTGAGTAACTGAAGCTCACTTGCCAGTGGCCATCTTGGCATGGCCTTCTCATTCCACCACACTTCCTGCTACTTCAGGGATTGCCAGAAGTAGCCTTTCAATGATGTAAACATGCAGATGCTAGCAGAGATGTTACCCAACATCAAAGATTTCTAAGACCAGAGCATTACATTTTACATGTTTTAGAGGAAAGAGTACCATAATGCATTTAGATTATCCTCTTCCTTGAAATTCATTTTCCACTTAATGTGTTTTATAAATTTCTTATATTTCTTAAGTCCCCAAAGTAGGTTCTGAATAAATTACAGCCACGGGGTCAGTGCTGTAGTGTAGTAGGCTGAGCCTCCACCTGTGGTGCCAGCATTCCCATATGGGCGCTGGTTCCTGTCTGGCTGGTCCTCTTCCAATTAAGCTCTCTGCCTGTGGCCTGGATGATGGCCCAAGTGCTTGGGCCCCTGCACCCACATGGAAGACCCGGAGGAAGCTCCTGGCTCCTGGCTTTGGATCGGCCCTTCTCTGGCCAGTGTGGCCATCTGAGGAGTGAACCAGTGGATGGAAGATCTTTCTGTCTCTCTCTGTTTGTAGCTCTACCTCTCATAAATAAATTAAAAAAAAAAAATCTTAAAAAAGATTCTATCCATAAGGATAAAAAACCCCAACCTATTTATCAAATGTCTACCATAACGCAAGGCATTGTAAAAGACACAAAGATGCCGGCGCCGTGGCTCAACAGACTAATCCTCCGCCTTGTGGCGCTGGCACACGGGGTTCTAGTGCAGTCGGGGTGCCGGATTCTGTCCCGGTTTCCCCTCTTCCAGGCCAGCTCTCTGCTATGGCCCCGGAGTGCAGTGGAGGATGGCCCAAGTGCTTGGGCCCTGCACCCCATGGGAGACCAGGATAAGCACCTGGCTCCTGGCTTCGGACCAGCGCGGTGTGCCGGCCGTGGCAGCCATTGGAGGGTGAACCAACGGCAAAAAGAAAGACCTTTCTCTCTGTCTCTCTCTCTCACTATCCACTCTGCCTGTCAAAAAAAAAAGACACAAAGATGTATCTGAATAGTGCCTGTCCAAAAGAAACCTGAAATAGCCAAGACAGGAACTTATGAAAACAAACATCAATGACTTCAATCATAGCTTTAGATACGAATAAAGGACACAGCAGCACACACTGATTACTCGCCACAGGCACAGAACATAAAAGTGCCACGGAGTTTCAGAGCTGGAAGCAGTCACCCCGCATGTGGTGGTGTGAAGCACTTCTACTGGCAAACTGGGTCTCACTGAGTTGCATCTTGAAGAGCAAGCAAGTTGGAAAGGTGAGGGAAAACAAGTGAATTAGAAGATGCTTCATCAAGTTTCACTTAATCCACCAACTGCTCACTGAATTTTCATCTGTGCCAGGTACCAAGAAGGCAAAGATGAGGTGATCTTTGTGGTCCTTTGTCAAATTTCCCTGCATAGACCTAAAACCCCTCAAAACTTATACAGAACAGTTCAATATTTTATTTTCCCCTGACAATGGGAAAAAATGGAACTGAACATTTCAAATAAGACATACCTTTCATTTAAATGTACCTTCCCCTAAAAGGTGAACTTCATACACTGCAATAAACTCAGTGTATCCCTTTGCAAACTTCCTGTAAGAATTCTTCCAGAATTACGCATACTGACTATTTAATAATATACAGGAGCAATTCAAAATGTTCATGGAAAAAATGGTTAAAAGATGAGTTGCAAAAATTTCCAGGAATAGTTTCTTTCATAGTATGTATTTTTTCTTTTTTCTTATTTACAAAAGGTAGGCTCTGTTTATTTAGTCAAAAGCAGTGGACTGACATGTGATTCAATACCACAAGAAACCACTTCTCCACTTCCTTCTGAGTCCCAGGGCTGACACCAGACTGGCAGGAATGCTGCTGAAGTGTTGTCTGAGGCCTGTTCATAGGTTTACAAGTTTCTCATTGAGGGCAATCTGACTGTGTGAGAATGGCCAGGTAGGTCACCATCAGCAAGTCACTGATGCTGCTGTTGAGCATGGTCTGGAAGTCATCGGGAACTACTTTGGGTACCTGGTTACCCAGGCTCATCAAGAAGCAGCCCACGGTGTTGTCAGCTAACATTGTTCCAGACGGCACATCCTCTGCATACTCTAACATTGTGCTCAGGGCATCCTGGATGAGGGTGGATGCCCCTCCTACTTCCTGCAAGTCACTCCAGAGTCCAATCACCTGGTTGGGGCTACAGGCCTTCATAATCAGGTCAACTCCAACGTGATCAGTGTCATAACGGGCATATTTCACATCAGAGGTGTGAACACCACTCCATGGTCCCATGGACACCCACTGAAGTGCTGACGTAGGCCTTGGTTCTCCTGTGGCCATTCTGAAGACTCACATCCACAGTGAGGTGAACGGGGTTGGGGGCCTCCCAGCTGTAGCACTTGCGGATCAGCACGGAATGTTCCTTGATGTCATGGCCTGTAGTGTACCAGCCCAGGATGAGTTCATTTGGACAGATTTTTTTGTGCAATTCATAGATGTTCTTAGCAAATTCCATTCAACGGCCACTTCATCTTCTGACTCATGCAGCACTGGAAAACAATTGGTGACCTCCACTGAGTGCTTGTCAACAGTTCCCAGTAGGGTCCTGATTACTCGGGCAGCGCCTTCGTTGTGCCACTCGTAACTGTCCAAGACGGAGGCCAAAATGACCAGACACAGTCTGACCACGCGGCCACCAGGGAAGGGCCCTAGGAGCATGGGACTAGGCAGCGAGGGCACCGAGGTCTGTGCAGGGGCTTATGCAGAGGCTGGGGTCTGGCTTAGACCTGTAGCTGCAGCCAGCATTGGTGCTGGTGCTGGGGCGGAGGCTGGAGCTACAGTTACACCCGGGATTGTGGCTGGAGTGGCAGGAGATGCACTTGTGGAGACTGCTGGGGTAGCCATTTTGTCAAGAAGGAAGAAGCCTCATAATATGTATTTTCCATGAACTTTCTGAAAACCCCTCATGCGCACACACACACACACACACACACATCCATGTGTGTGTACTTTGGTTAGACGTATACATTACTTATATATCTTTTAACCATACACTGGATACCACATTAAGCATGTCAAAAGCCTTATCTCATTTAACACTCTGAAAGCATCACAGGGTACAAAGTATTATTTTTGCCATTTTACAGATAACTTCAAGTGAGCTGCTCAGAGAGCTCTGTACAATACCCACAGTCACACAGCAAGTAACAGATGGAGCTGAATCTGAACCTAGGCTATCAAAATGTAAAGTCCAGGCTGCTGCTGCTGCTGCTTTTTCTTTCATTTAAGATTTTTGTTTTACTCATTTGAAAGGCAGAGTTACAGAAAGAGAGAGGGAGAGACATCTTCTATCCGCTGGTTCACTCCCCAAATGGCTGCAATAGCCAGGGCTGGGCAAGAGTTAGGAGCTTTTTCTGGGTCTCCCATTTTGGTGCAGAGTCCTAAGCACTTGCGCCATCTTCTGCTGCTTTCCAGGCGCATTAGCAGGGAGCTAGATCAGAAGTGGAGCAGCTGGGACTCGAACGAGTGCCTGTGTGGGATGCTGGTGACACAGGTGGCAGCTTTACCTGCTATTCCACAATGCTGGCCCAAGTCCAGCCTCCTTAAGTATTATATTTATTATTTAATATTTCCACTAAAAAAGCAAAGGACTTGCCCACAGAACCCAGTTTCAAGAACAAAGTCAGGACTGGATCTCAATCCTGCCCGTCACCTCTATCCCCTGATGCAATAGTCTCAGTCATGGGCAAAACTGTGTGCCAAGATTTGCAGAAAGTTGGATGGGCTTTAAATGAAGGTTCGCTTCACAGTTCTGACCCCATTTTCCAACGGGCTAACTCGCCCAGGAAGAGTATCTCGTGGGAGTTTCATAAATCCAACTATTCCATATTTGCCCCAAAGTTCTTGCCAAAGTACTATTCTGGGATTTTGTTATTGTTGTTGTTGTTGTTCTCTTTTCAAAACTAGACGCAGGAAGCAAATTCAATCCTCTTCTGGTTGTAAAAATTGAAAAAAAAAAAAAAGCTAAAATTTAGGTGTGTACAGCAGCGATGATCTTGTCAGGTGGAGAAGAGAGAACGTAAAGAAAGCAAATACTCCTGAACAACCTTAGTATAAAGCTGTGAAACACAAAGTTTTATCTCTGGCATCAATCTGTATACATGAAACCTTATAGGAAGAAAGAAAATATATACTGGTATTAGTAACACTAACCTTGTTTGTTCTTGGATTCAACATCAGTGGCTTGCCTTTCTCTTTTATGTGCAAATGACGACATGCCCAAGTACAAGGCATGGACGCAACTCTGAATCGAGACAACATCTTTTCTTCCACCTAAGGAAAATGAAGCAAAGAAACCACTGATGAGAAATGGGTTCTAGGATTGCCAGTACATCAAGTATCCATTTTCCAAAGCAGATTTAAGAGTTTATCTTTCCACAGATGAAAACATTTTTCCCAAACATATCTATTGTTTCCAAAGGCTGTAAAAGTCAAAAGGGTGACAATAAAGTGACCATAAAGACCTCCTGGTGGGTTGGCATTGTGGCATAACCACTGCCTGTGATACCAGCATCCCATATGTGTGCTAATTCAAGTCCAGGCTGCTCCACTCTTTTTTTTTTTTTTTTAAAGATTTATTTATTTATTTCAAAGTCAGAGTTACACAGAGAGAGAAGGAGAGGCAGAGAGAAAGGTCTTCCATCTGCTGGTTCACTCCCCCGGCAACAGCCAGAGCTGCACCAATGTGAAGCCGCACCCATCTGAAGCCAGGAGCCTAGAGCTTCTTCCAGGTCTCCCACGCAGGTGCAGGAGCCCAAGCACTTGTGCCATCTTCTACTGCTTTCCCACGCCACAGCAGAGAGCTGGGTCAGAAGTGGAGACGCAGTATCTCAAACCGACGCCCATATGAGATGCCAGCACTGCAGGCAGTGGCTTTACCCGCTACATCACAACGCCGACCCCTCTGCTCCACTTTTGATCCAGCTTTTTGTTAATAGCCTAGGAAAAACAGTGGAAGATGGTCCAAGTGCTTGGGCCCCTGAACCCATGTGAGAGACTCAGATGAAGTTCCTGGCTCCTGGCTTCAGCCTGGCCCAGCCCTGGCCGTCAGAGCCATCTAAGGGAGTGAACATCCATCTATCTCTCTCTCTCTCTCTCTCTCTCTCTCTCTTTATATATATATATCTCCCTAACTCTGACTTTCAAGCAAATAGATAAATCTTAAAAAAAAAAAAAAAGACTTTCTGGTACCACTCTTAATTCTTGGGTAGTAATCACTGCTTCCCTACTGTATGTGTCACCTACTATACACCAGATGTGGTGTTAAACATTCAACCTCTTTCTAATCCACGTAAGTACAGCCAGGTCTCAGTCTCCTACTTGTGAGAGAAACAACTGAGAGGATAAAAGACACAATAACATCCACTAAACAGCAAAGGGAATTTCACTGAATGAATTCAGGAGACTAGCTTAATAGGTAAAAATCATAGAAAAGCCTGAAACATACATATTTTGAGGAAGAGAAGCTAACCAGATTCCCATCTAGATACAGAGTTGTAAAACACCATATCCAAGATGTCAATTTTTTAAAAGATTTTATTTATTATACATACAGTGAGGGAGAGATAGAAAAAAAGGTCTTCTTCCATCCGCTGGTTCATTCCCCAAATGGCTGCAAGGGTCAGAGCTGGGTCAATCTGAAGCCAGAAGCCAGAAGCTTCTTTTGGGTCTCCCACGCAGGTGCAGGGGCCCAAGTGCTTGGGCCATCTTCTACTGCTTTCCCAGACCATACCAGAGAGCTGGATTGGAAGAGGAGCAGCTGGGACTAGAGTTGGCACCCATATGGGATACCAGTGCCACAGGTGAAAGATTAACCTACTGTGCCACAGCCCCAGCCCCTTAACATTTAAATTTGATATACTATAATATTTTGTCTTTGAAAATATATTTAATATTATATTTAGTATTAAAATAGTTATAGAAATTGGCCACAGGACATATCAAGTAACTTTCATCCTTTTACATCTATCACCAACATATGGGAATTTTCAAAATTCACAAAATTTTCAAAATTTACAATACATATTAAGCCTCCAATATTTAGTGATAACAGATTCTTCTGTTTATCAATGCTCCCACCAAAATTAGAATTTACAAATGCCCATTTATTTCCTTAAACATCATATATTATTTCAATTATCATACAGTAAGTTCCTTTTGTAAAATGGAATTTCTATTTGCTGAGATAGCCATGGTCTGTACATGGGGAGAGGGCAGCAAATACATAAGGATTTAAAAAAAATTATCTGAGAAGCAAAGAGACAGAGGGAGGAAGGGGGAGAGGGAGGGCACGAGGGAGGGGGGAGGAAGGGAGGGACAAGAGAGACCATGAACACGAGGAGAGCACTCCTATCCACTGATTCACTTTCCAGATGCCTAGGCTGGGCCAAAATCAAGAGCCAGGAACTCAGTTAAGGTCTCCCAGGTGAGCAGCAGGAACCCAGTTACCTGAGCCATTATTGCTGCCTTCTAGGCTCCACATTAGCAGGCAGCTGAAATCACAAGCCAGAGCTGGATATGAACCCAGGTATTATGATATAGGATATGGGTGTCATAACCAGTAGGCCTGCCAAAGGATTGTCTAGAAGTAATTTTTATAGAGACAAAAATCACATAAATTAAAATTAACCACTTTGAATTGAAGGATTCTGAGATACTAAGAAATTCTTAACATTGTACAAGCACCACCTCTGTATAGTTCTAAAATACTTTCAGCACCCCAGCAGGAAGCATCATATCCAGTAACCAGTGGCTCCCCATACCTCCTTCACCCAGCACCCAGCACCCAGCAATCTGCTGTTTTTAGGGATTTACTCAGAACTTCCATATAAATTTGGCACCTAAATTTGGCCAGAAAAGGTAAGAGATCTGTATGATCACTGGCACCATCAAGAAGCAAGAGACACAAACTACAAAACAGCTGATCTGTTTTCTTCAAAAATCTTAATGTCACGAAAGACAAAGACTAAGGAACTACTGTATTCAGAGAAGACTAAAGAGATATGATAACTAAATGCAAAACCTAATCCTGGACTGGATTCTTACTAGAAAAAAGAAATACTATGGAGAACATTATTGAGACAACTGGCAAAACTGGAAGACACATGGAAAATTACATAAAAATACTATAAAATTTTCTCAAGGTATCCTTGTTCTCAATATACACAGTAAAGTGTCAGTGGGCATATAATAAATACAAACCATATTTTGAATAATTTCAAAAGTAATTTTTTAAAGATTTATTTATTTATTATGAAAGTCAGAGTACAGAGAGAGGGAGAGACAGAGAAGAGAGAGACCTTCCATCCACTGGCTCACTCCCCAGATGGCTACAACAGCCAAGGCTGGCTGAGCCAGGATGAAACCAGGAGGCAGAAACTTCATCGGGAATGTCCATATGGGTAGCAGGGGCCCAAAAGTTGGGCCATCTTTTGCTGCTTTCCCAAGCCATTAGTAGGGAGCGGGATCAGAAATGGAGCAGCTGAGACATGAACTAGTGCCCATATAGAATGCCAGCATCACAGTGAAGGAGCTCAGGACTAGAAGCAGGCCAGACTAATTCCATCCTACGGCTCCTTGCCAGCACATACACAATAAACAGAGCAGGATAGAAGCCCACTGTAACAAATATTTGCTAACAGACAACAAGATTTAGATTTCCACAAAAACAAGTTAGAAAAGGCTCCATCTGCCTTTGTAATAGCTAATGTATAACCACACTTGCTCCTTAGAGATAATGTTTTAGAGACATACAAATACTCCTAGACTGCAAGTTCCCATGGCTTGGTCTCTTTTTCACCAGCTTCTCTGTTTCTTACTCAGAAAGAAGCTTTGTGGGGAGCTTCTCTGTTTCTTACTCAAATAGAACTTCATTTCTTCCCCTCTCACCATTGTAATTGTGTCCAATCTCATAAATTGTCAGACACCAGGACGTGAACCCAGACTCATCTCACCCATTTGCCCACAACAGCAGGTGGCAGCTTTACCCACTATGCCACAACACTGGTCCCTCAAAAATAATTTTTTTTTTGACAGGCAGAGTGGACAGTGAGAGAGAGAGAGACAGGGAGAAAGGTCTTCCTTTGCCGTTGGTTCACCCTCCAATGGCCACTGCGGCCAGCGCACTGTGCTGATCCGATGGCAGGAGCCAGGTGCTTCTCCTGGTCTCCCATGTGGGTGCAGGGCCCAAGCACTTGGGCCATCCTCCACTGCACTCCCTGGCCACAGCAGAGAGCTGGCCTGGAAGAGGGGCAACCGGGACAGAATCCGGCGCCCCGACTGGGACTAGAACCCAGTGTGCCGGTGCTGCAAGGCGGAGTAGATTAGCAAGGCGGAGGATTAGCCTAGTGAGCCGCAGCGCCGGCCATTCAAAAATAGTTTTTAAAAATAACTCTAAACAGTAGCATCAAGTATGCTAATAAATGCTGGAGTAGCAACTTACTTGCACAATAAAATCTCACTTAAGACTGAAAAATACTTTTATATTTAGGGCTAAAAGATATGACATTTTAGTTCATTTATTTATTTGAAAGGTAGAGTGACAGAGAGAGAGAAGGAGAAACAGAGTGAAATAAGAGATCTTCCATCTGCTGCTTCACTCCCCAAAAGCCCACACAGGCAGGTCTGGGCCAGGCCAAAGCCAGAAGTCAGGAGCTCAATCTGGGTCTCCCCTGTGGATGGTAGGAATTCAAGTGCTTGGGCCATTAGCCCCTGCCTCCCATTAGCAGGTGCACTGGCAGGAAGCTGGATCTGAAGCACGGTGCTGCAGGGACTCAGGGGATACAGGTGTCCTAAGCAGCAGCTTAATGCACTGTGCCACAAGGACCATCCCAGGTAAGACTTTGAACTATGTGTTCATGTTACAAGAAAGGGCTTTTTCTTTTTCTCTTTCCAAACTTTCTATCAAAGCGGAGCAGCTTCTGATAAGTAGAATTTCAAATTCACCAAAGGCTGGCTTCAAAGTTCAGATCAGGGGTGGGTGTTTGATACAGTGGTTAAGTTGTCGTTTGGTATACTGACATCCCCCGCTGGAGTGCCTGGTTCAAGTCCCAGCTCCACATCTGATCTAGCTTTCTGCTAATGCATATCCTGGGAGGCAGTGGTGAAGGCTCAAGTACTTGAGTCCTTGCCACCCAAGTGGGAGACCTGCATTGAGTTCCTGGCTCCTGGCTTCAGCCTGGACAAGCTCTGGCTGTTACAGACATCCAGGCCATCAACCAGTGGATGGCAGATCTCTCTACCTTTCAGATAAATTTTTAAATTAAAATGCTTAC